TTGGGTATTGCGTTAAATCTGTAGATTGCTTTGGGTAAGATGGACATCTTAACAATGTTGATTCTTGTAATCTATGAGCATGGAATATTTTCCCATTTGTTTGTGTCATCTTTGAGCAGTGTTTTGTAGTTTTTGTTGTAAAGGTTTTTTACTTCTCTGGTTAGGAAGATGCCAAGGTTTTTCTGTTTTTTCTTTTTTTTGTAGCTATTGTGAATGGGATTGTGCTTTTTACTTGAGTTTCTGTTTGTTTATTGTTAGTGTATAAGAATGTGACTGACTTTTGCACATTTATTTTATATCCTGAGACTTTACCAAAGTCCTTTGTCAGTGCAAGGGGGTTTTTGGCAGATTGTCTTGGGTTTTTGAAGTATAGAATCCTGTCGTCTACAAAGCGGGATAACTTAACTTTTCTTTTCCTAATTGGTTACCCTTGATCTCGTTCTGTTGTCTGATTGCTCTAGCTAGGTCTTCCTATACTATGTTGAACAGGAGGGGTGAGAGTGGGCATACTTGTCCCCAGTTTTCAGGGGAAATAGTTCCAATTTCTGTCTGTTTAGCAGTATGTTGGCTGTGGGTTTCTTGTAGATGGCTCTTACTGTTTTGAGGTATGTTCCATATATTCCTAGATGTTCAAGCGTTTTTATTAAGAAAGGGTGCTGGATTTTATCAAAAGCTTTTTCTGCATTTAATGATATAATCATGTGGTTTTTGTTTTTATGTCTGTTGATGTATTTAATTATGTTTATGGTTTTATGAATATTGAACCAGCCCTGCATCCCAGGGATGACGCCTACTTGGTTATGGTGGATAATTTTTGAGATAGGTAGTTGGATCCGGTTTACTAGAATCTTGTTGAGAATTTTAGCATCTATTTTCATCAAGGACAGTGGCCTTTCTCTTTCTTTGTTGGATCTTTACCTGGTTTTGGTATCCATGTGATGTTAGCTTCATAAAATGATTTGGGGAGAATTCCATCTTTCTTGATTGCCTGGAATACTTTCAGTAGAATTGGTAACAGCTTATCCTTGTATGTGTTGTAGAATTCTACTGGAAATCTGTCTAGTCCAGGGTTTTTTTTGTTTTTGTTTTTGTTTTGTAGGTAGTTTTCTTAGGAAAGAATCAATTTCCTGGGTTGTTATTGGCCTATTTAGGGTCTAGATTACTTCTTGTTTCAATCTTGGGAAGTTATGTGATATCAGAAAGTCCTCCATTTCATTTAGGTTTTTGAGTTTGTTTCAATACAGGTGTACATAGTAATCTCTGATAATCTTTTGTATTTCTTCGGGATCAGTTGTGTCTTGATCTTTTGTATTTCTGGTTGTGTTTATTTAGGCTTTTTCTTTCTTTTTCTTGGTCAGCCTAGCTAGGGATTCATCAATCTTGTTTATCCTTAAAAAACCAGCTTTTGGTTTCATTGATTTTTTTTTTTTTTTTTTTTTTGGTATTATATTTTGGTCTTCTATGTCCCATATTTAGGTTTTAAATTTGGTGATCTGGATTTTCTGTTGATGTTAGGGTTTTGGAGGTCTTACTTTTCCAGCTTCCTTGGGTGATTTGTTAGGCTGTTAATTTGTGATCTTTTCATTTTCTTCATGTGTGTTTGCAGAGATATGAATTCTCCTCTTGGGACTGCTTTCATGGCATCCTGGAGATTTTGGTAAGATGTTTCTTTTTTTTCCATTTGCTTCCAGGTATCTTTTAATCTCTGTTTTGATTTCCTTGTCGACCCAGGAGTTGTTTAGCATCATGTTGTTTAGTGTCCAAATCTTTGTGGGTTTTTAGGGGAACTTTGTTGGTGTTGATATTTATTTGCATTCCACTGTGGTCTGAGAAGGTGCATGACACAATTTCAATCTTATGGAATTTGTTTATGCTTGATTTATGGCCAATGATGTAGTCAATCCCAGAGTATATTCCATGTTGTGCTGAGTAGAATGTATATTCTGTGGTTGTTGGGTGGAGTGTTCTGCAGGTATCCATTATGTCCATTTGGTGGAGCTTCATGTTGAGGTTCCAGATCTCCTTGTTGACTTTTCGTCTTGATGATTTGTCTGTTGTTGTTAGTGGGGGGTTTAAGTCTCCAGCTATGATAGTGTTAGAGTCAGTATCTTTTTTTAGTTTACCTAGAAGCTGCTTTATGAAAGTTGGTGCTCCTGTGTTGGGTGCATACATATGTTTAGGATGGATATGTCTTGTTGATGGATTGAATCTTTTCTCAATATGTAGTGACATTCTGTATCTTTTTAAATTTTTGACAGCTTAAAGGGTATTTTGTCTGAGATTAAGTTCATGACTCCTGCTTTCTTTTGTGTTACTTTCACCTGAAATTTTGTTTCCCATCCTCTTACTTTGAGTCTGTGTGTGTCCTTTCTGGTGAAAGGAGTGTCTTGGAGACAGTATATTGTTGTCTCATGATATTTTATCCATTTGGCCATTCTATGTCTTTTCAGTGGTGCTTTTAGTCCACTCACATTCAGGCTAATTATTGCGATGTGAGAGTTGATCCCAGTCATGAGGTTCCTACAGAGTTTGTTGTTGTGGTGCTGTTTGTTTGTTGTCTTTATTTTGATTTTTGGGTTGATTCATGTGTGTCTTCAGTCTTTTTCCTACATTCTTGGGAAGCGCATTGTCATTCTTTTCTTCCTTTCTTCTGTGTTTAATACTTTCTTAAGTGTTTCTTGTAGACCTGGTGGGCAGTGTAAACGATTGGGGATTGAATGTCTGGGAAGGATTTTAATTCTTCATCATGGATGAAGCTTAGCTTAGCGGGTAGATAATTCTTGGTTGAAATTGTTTATATTTCAGAACTTTGAAGATTTGTCTCCAAGCTCTCCTAGCCTGAAGTGTTTCTGTAGATAAGTCTGTTGCTTTTCTAATTGATAATCCTTGGTAGACAGTCTGAACTTTCTCTCTTGCTGCCTTTAGGATTTTTTTTCTTTTTTACCTACTTTGCGTAGTCGAATTGCTATGTCTCTAGAAGTTGGTCTTCTCATTTGTTGTCTTGCTGGGCTTCTCTGAATCTCTTGTGTTTGAATGGTCACATCACTGATGAGAGGAGGGAAGTTTTATTGGATAATTACATGGAATGTTTGCTCCAGGGAGGTCTCTGTCTATCTGTCTAACTCAGAGATTCCAATTAATCTTAGGTTTGGTCTCTTGAAATGATTGCTCATCTCTTGGAGGTTTTGTTCTGTTTTTTAAAGCTTCTTTTCTATGTTTTTCACAGTTTGGGTTTGTTCCGTATTGTGGTCCTCAAGCTCTGAGATTCTTTCTTCTGCTTGGTCAATTCTGCTTTCCATGCTTATCAGTTTGTTGTTTATTTCATTCACTGTACTCTTTATTGTTGTTATCTCAGTTATCAACTCCTTCATTCTTTCCTCTTGCCTCTCTTCATTTCTATTTATTCTCTCTATAATATCTTGATATGGCTGGTCTTGGTGGCTCAGCCTGTAATCCTGCGCCTTGGGAGGCTGAGGTGAGTGGATTGCCTGAGCCCACGGGTTTGAGAACCACCTGAGCAACTTGGCGAGACCTCATCTCTACAATAAATCAAAAACTTAGCTGGGCGTGGTAGCGTGCGCCCGTAGTTCCAGCTACTTGGAAGGCTGAGGTGGAAGGATCACCGGCTCCCAGTGGGTCAAGCCTGCGTTGACCGGGAGCGGCCACTGCACTCCAGTCTGGGTGACAGAGTGAGACTCCAACTCAAAAAAAAAAAAAAAAAATCTTGATATCTGGGTTTGTGGTTTGAGACCAGTCATTCTGGGGGCTCTTCATTGTTTGAGTTCCGGAATGTGTATTCTCAGTGACTGACCTCCCATACTTCTGTGTGAGACCAATATTCCTCCTTTGGTTTTTCTTCATTTCTGTAGGTCTCCTCCCCCCCTTTTTTAAACCTCTTCTTTAATTCTCTTGTTCAGCGATGGGGGAATAACTTTTATTTCTGATAACTCAATCTCCTATTTTTCCTTATGTAGATTCTCTAGTTTTGTTCAATTCTGAGGCTAGACTAGGGGTAGGGTTCTGTGCTTTTTACAGTTTTGGGATTAAGGGGGGAGCTGTGATTCAGAAGCTATCTCCAGATCCCAGTATTCGCTGACAGGTGTTTGGGCCCCCAGAACCCCCTTCCCACTACCTTACAATCTGTCTGTGCTGCGGAGGTGTCTGTTTGCCCCTGAAAGCAAAGTAAGACAAGAAAAGGGAAAGTACTGGAAAAAGGAAGACAGAAAGGAGGTGGAGAGTGAGAAAAGAAGAGGGAACGCAGACAGGTGTACCAACTCACAAATAAACAGAGACAAAGACAGAGAACACAAAAGAGACAAAAACATACAGGCAATCATGCAAACAAACAAAAATGCCCCTGTTGGTGAACTCTCCCTCAAAAATACCCACACATAAACAGAAAAATCTTTAAAAAAGAATTCAAATAACAGAAGCAAAGCAAGTGCAAAATCATAAACAAAACAGAAAGAGAGAAGAAAAAAAAGGCTGAAAGTAAAACAAAAACCACACCAGGAAAAAGAAAAAACGAAGACTAAACTCGCCCCCTGGCCTTTCGGTGAGTCCAGCTTCCCTTCAGGCCTCGCCTGCGGGCGCAGCTGTGCTCCAGCCCCTCCCCTCCGCGCTCCGCTGCGGGACGGGCCGCCCCAGGGCGGGTCGAGGCCCCCCAGACTGCTGCGCGACGGGGAGGGCTCCGGTCCGCACTCACCCGGCCGGGGCTGCCGCCCGCCAAGGCTCCGCCCCCACCAGAGGCCTCTGTGCGCGGCCAGCCCGGGCCGGAGCGTCCGTCTCCGAACTGGGGGGGAGGGAGCCTCCCGTCCTGGGTGGAGGCTGGCGCGGCTGGGCGGGGCAGCGCGAGGCTCTGGCCGGCCCTGGGGCGGCGAGGCGGCGCCGGTGGGGTCTTGCTTGCCGCGCCTGCTCCCGGCCTGGAGCTGTCTTCCGGTTTTCCGCTGCCTGCCTTCCCCACGGACCCTCCTGCTTGCGCCCGGTGTGCGCGGCAGGCGATGGCGTCACTGGCTTCTGCGGGAACCCTCGCAGTGCCACCTGTTTCCTCGCCGTCAGATCCTGAATGCATGGAAAGGCCCGGAAAGGTTGTGGACACCAAGCAAAGGAATTCAGAGCTTCTTTCTCACTAGTAAAAATTCATCCGGGTTTTAAATTGCTATCTTACGGAGGTGAAAATTTTTTAGAGAATTAGTTATATTAAATAATATAAAAATGTTTTTAAGTGATAATTTGAATACTGTAGAAAAATGAAGAAGTTCTCGGAAAAGGAAAATAATCATTATATAAAAAAGATACCTGTACTCAGAAGTTCACTGCAGAACTATTCGCCATAGCAAAGTCATGGAAACAGCCTAAGTGTCTGTCAATGAATAACTGCATAAAGAAAATATGCTATATATACACCATGGACTACTGTGCAGTCATAAAAAATAACAAAATTATTTCCTTTGCAGCATTACGGATGGAACTGGAGACTGTCATCCTAACTCAAAGCTAGAAAATGAAACACCGCATGTTCTCACTCACATGTGGGAGCTAAATGGCCACAAAGACGGAAAATGTAGTTCCTGGGGACACCAAAAGGGGGGAGGCAGGTTGGGAGGCTCGAGTTTAGAAGTTACCTTTTGGGTATAATGTTCACTATCTGGGCCTTGGGCCACCGGAGGCCCACCCCAATGCTACATACTATGTCCTTGTGACAACATGCATTTGCACCACTGAATCTTAAAAAAAAAAGCCGTTAAAAATGAAATGAATGAAAATTTTGAGTGAATAAAATGAATGAATAAAATGATGTAATACAATGTTCCTATACATGTATGTAATAATAGATATATCACTTATGTGAGAATCCCTGATTAAAATTTGGGGGTTATGAATTTCCTTTTAAAAATATGTTACATTGCTTTTATTATAAAAAATGTCTAAAACTTTAAGTGAAGAGGAAAGAACACTGGTAACGTGTTTACTTATAAAGAGGTGTAAAGAGATTTTCCTGAGGATTGAGAGTTTGTATCATTTACTGCTGTGTACCTGCATCCTGGCATATTACCAGACTCATAAAATATTCGTTAAATGAATGAATGGGTTAAAGTCTGTAACCATGGTCTTAGTTTTGTGGCAGTGAGCATTCTTTTTTAAAAAGACCTTGTTAGTTTGGAGCTTGATTTAATTTTTGCTACTGCAGTTTATGATACATTTGTTTTCTTTGTTCTTATAGGCTATGCATTTTCTTCAGGCTCCTTTCTAATACAAAAGTGTCATAAAGTTGCTCTTTTTTTTTTTTTTTTGAGTTGGAGTCTCACTCTGTCGCCCAGACTGGAGTGCAGTGGCCGCTCCTGGCCACCGCAGCCTCGACCTGCTGGACTCCGGCAATCCTTCTCCTCAGCCTTCTGAGTAGCCAGAATTACAGGCGTGTGCTACCATGCCTGGCTGATTTTTGATTTATTGTAGAGATGAGGTCTCTCCAAGCTGCCCGGGTGGGTCTTGAACCCGCGGGCTCAGGCAATCCACTCACCTCCGCCTCCCAAAGCGTGGTATATAAAGTTGCTCTTAACGATGACTCATTCTTTTAGAACCACATGATAAAAGAATTGGAGGCCCGTGTTCAGCAGCTGACTGGAGAAGCAGAGAGCAGTAATTTACAGAGGCAGAAATTAATTCAAGAAAAATCGGAACTTGAAAGGTGTTACCAGATAACATGCAGTGAATTACAAGAAGTAAAGGCAAGGTATTGTCTGAAATTAGAAATCTATTAGGTGTACATATGAAGTACTGATATTAACGCTATAATTTATCTGCTGAAACTTCTCACACGTGTGCCTTTAACTTTGGGAGGTTTTTGATCTATATCACTGTTATTTTTAAATTAAAGAAACTCTTTTTAGAGACAGGGTATTACTCTGTTGCCCAGGTTGGAGTGGCATGACACAATCATACCTCTCTGCAGCCTCAGACTCCTAGGCTTCATCCTGCCTCAGCTTCCTGAGTAACAGGGCCAATAGGCACATGCTACCATGCCTGGCTAATTAAAAAAAATTTTTTTTTTTGGTAGAGACAAGGTCTCTGTTGCTAGTGAACTCCTAGCTTCAAGTGATCCTCTCATCTTGGCCTCTTAAAGCATTGGAATTACAGGCATGAATCATTGCACCTGCCTGTTTATTTTTTTAAAGTCTCTTTTTATTTATTCTTTTTTTTGTTTTTGAATTGGAGTCTCACTCTGTTACCCAGGCTGGAGTGCAGTGGCCACTCCTGGCCACCGCAGCCTTGACCTGCTGGGCTCCGGCGATCCTTCTACCTCAGCCTTCCGAGTAGCCGGAATTACAGGCGCGCGCTACCACACCCGGCTGATTTTTTTTTATTTATTGTAGAGATGAGGTCTTGCTGCCCAGGCAGGTCTCAAACCCGCGGGCTCAGGCAATCTACTCACCTCAGCCTCCCAAAGGCGCGGGATTACAGGCTGAGCCACTGAGCCCGGCTTAAAGTCTCTTTTTAACATAAGCACGGTATTTAGAAGCAGTTGATAAAAATGTGGATGCTTATTTGGTATATTGATTGATAATCTATTTGGATTTAGTTGGTTAATAAAATTTCATCTTAGATATTGGTTCCAAATATATTGGGAGTCTATTTTATTTCTTTTTCTTTTGTAGGCGCAACACATTGCATAAAGAGAAAGACCATCTTGTAAAGGATTATGAGCAAAACGTGAAACTATTACAAACCAAATATGATGCTGATGTAAACCTTCTAAAACAAGAGCATGCTCTCGCAGCTTCTAAGGTATTATGTCTGCTGGTAGATACACTCCATGGAGTATTTCCTGACCTTACTCAGCCTATAGCCGTGGATAGCCACAGAGAGATTACTCAGCATTTGCAGTTAATCTCTCCTTCACTTTAATCTTAACGTAATAGAAATTTCAATGACTTTTACTGGTATTTAAAATGTTGAAAATACTAAATGCCTTGTACGTAGCACAGCAGAAATATTTAGCCAAATTGTACTATATGCTAGCAATTTTAAGCACCAAAGTTTTTAAAGGAGGAAACATAAATTTCAAGAAGAAATGCTTAGTTATGTGTTAGTACCTACATACATATATGTATGTGTTCTTATTTTGAAATCTTCATTTATTATTTAGATTTTAAAAGGTTTTTGTAGACCTATTTTTGTACGACTGCTATGTTTTTATAGCATTAATACTATGTAGCATTTAATTTCTATTTTTGCTTTTTTAAAAATAGATTTTATTTTATTTTAGAGATGTGGGGTACAAATAAGGATTCACTATACAAGTAGGCTGCATGCTGGTGAAGCTTGGGACTCCAGTTGTCCCTCACTCCCCCTGGTAGTGGCCCAGGTACCCTTTGTGATGCTATGTGCCCCCTCCGCCCTTTTCCATTTCCCTGGCAGTGCCCGCGACTGCCAGTCCTTCCCTTGTGCTGATGTGATTAATGTTCAGGTCTCACTTATGAGTGAGAACATGCAATATTCAGTTATTTGTTTCTGTGATAGATTGCAAAGTATAATGGTCTTTAACTCCATCCAATTTACTGCATAGTCTGTGATTTTGTTTTTCTTTATGGCTGCATAATACTCTGTCGTGTACAAGTACCACGTTTTTTTCATCTAGTCCACTTTCCATGGGCAGTAGGGTTGGTTCCATGTTTTTGCTATTGTGAATAGTGCAGTAATAAACATGCATGTGCAGGTGTCTTTTTTGTAGAACAATTTATTTTCCTCCAGGTATATTCCCAGAAGAGAGAATATTACTTTAATATATTACTTTAAAAGATTAATTTTTATACTGTTTTATAAACTTTTTAAATTTTTATACTGTTTTAGAAATATTTTAAAATGTGATTTATAGATAATTTTAGTTCTGATTGAGCTTCAGGGGAAAATATTTTTCAACCAATGTCATAAGATGGTGCAAAACTCAATATTTTTGTTTTTATTCTTCTTAAAATCCTTCTAGGCATCTAACAGGATTGAAGAATTAGAACAGACTGTCTGTCAACTAAAACAGCAGTTACAGGAATCAGAACTTCAAAGAAAGCAGCAACTCAGTGTAAGTCTTGCATTTCTACACGGAAAAGCAGTGCCAGACACGCCTTTCCTTGCCTTGATCTGTATGTGGGAGTGAGGGTCAATTAAAAAGCAAGACTCAGGAATGTAGTTGGCCTTTTCTGACTCATTGTAATTGCATAATTTTTCGTTTTATTTGCATTAACTAACAGGTAGATGCTAATGATCTATAGAGAATAAAAGAACAGTAATTTTAATTGGAATGATCTCTTTTTTCAGATTAGTTTAAAAGTAAACTTTATTTAAATACGTTATTTTAGAATAATTTCCTTCTTTTAAATTATCTGCCCATCTTCACAATCTCTCTGTCTCTCTTTGTCTCTCTCTTTTGTACTTTTCAAATCTTTTCTTTCATGGTCAAAACGTGCCAAGGACTGGCATATGATATAACTTCAAATTTATCATTCCCATATTGATTAAGTTAGTCATTTAAAATTAGTTTCCCAATTCTAAGGATTAGAAAGTTTTTCTTACACTGTAAAGTAGGTACTTTTGAGAATAGTAATGTCTTCGGGAACTACAATTTTATGTTCTGTAGTATAAAACTACTCATGTTTCTACTTGTGGGACTCTCTTAATACGCAAAACTGTGAATTAAAATTTGACATCAAGTTGATTCATTAATTTCATTCGATTACTAATTGTATTGACTCTAGCAGTTTTAAGTATAATAAAAATAAACATTTATTATTTACAGGATCAAGAAAATAAGTTTCAAATGGAAAAAAGTCATTTAAAACACACCTATGAAAAAAAGGTAATATGTTTTGTGGGAAGCTATAAAACATTTAAAATAGGAAAGGAGCCATCAATGGGGACTGATTTTTATAAAGCCATACATTCTTACTTTTAGAGAATTATTTATTTCTAAGTTAATTTTAGCTAACCAATAATTACAATTTTCTTATTCATTTTTCATATTCATCAATAACTTCAGTTCAGTTATTATATCAATATTAAAACACTTCTTGCATGTCATATTTAATGAGTGAGGAGTACAGTTGTCCCTCTATATTTGTGGATTTTGAATCCACATGAATTTAATCAACGGTGGATTAAAAATATTCAGAAGCAAACATTATATAAAGTTCAAGAAGCATACCTTGAATTTGCCATGATCCGAATACTACGTTGAATCCATGTGAATGAAGTGATGTGCAGGCATTGGAATAGGCATTGTGAGTGATTTAGAGATGATGTAAAGTATATGATTCTATGTGTATAGGCTATATGCAAATATGATGTCATCTTATAAGAGGAACCCGAGTATCTGAGGAGTCTCTAGCACACTTGGGGTGTGCTAGGACTAATCCCCCGTGGATCCCAAGGGACAGTATAACCTTAACCTCTCATAATAACACATTGAAATTGCCTTTCCTTCCTGTCGGTTTAAGTGCATGTCACCATCGATGTACTTTGTATTCTGTAGTGTCATGTGTGCCATGAGAACTTTAAATATTTAAACAAAGAACTTACCACAATGAAAGAATCTGCTACTACTTACAGATGATTATTGTTTCTTGTCATTTATAATAATGAATATTTCTGCTGTTATATGTTGATATCCCTTTTATGAAAACTTGGGTGTTATTGACACACTTAACACGTGAGGCAGTAAAGTGCAGGGTTCTCTAGGCTTCTGACAATGAAACCATAGTTTTGAAACCTTTTCCTTAAAACTTGAAAAGTCAAAGGATAGTTGAAATAGCAAAGGTTTAGCTGCTCCTTTTGTAATTATTTGCTATTTACATTTACCAAATTAACCTATTTGTAAAATACACATATATGGAAACGGAGAAGATGAACCCTTCAATCAACTTAAATATATACAAATTAAAATTGGGCATGGTTGATATTACAAAATTCTTGCAACTTGGTGTGATACCACATCTTAGGTGTCCATATAGTAGTCACTCAACAGATATCCATCAAGTGCTTACCTTGGACGAGATACTCACATAGGTACTGGGTTGGGGTTGTGCATGAATTAGATGTAGAGTCTGTTGTCAAGAGCTTAACGTATAGGAAGAAGAAGGTTTCTGTCATTGGGAAAAACGAGTATTTCTACTGACGTGCATGTTGATCTGCGTATGTGCTCTTTAAAATGATAGTACATGTTCTTATTACTATAATTTTAATACATCTCAATGCCAGATCATAAGTATATTTCATGTCTATAAAATGTCCAAACAAGCATGGGAAAATGTCACTTTTATTGAAATAATCTTTTTCAGTTTCTACTTCTGAGCCACACAGACTCCTAAATATTTTACTTACCCAGAGAAGAACATGTGTTATCATAAGCCTTGCTTCCCACTGTATAAGGCACCTGGATCCTCAGTGTGTACTTGTCAGTCCATTGTTCATTCTTTGGGCAGTTCATTGGCTTCCCGGCCATTAAGGAACCACTTCCTGACCTCTTGCTCCATTATGTTCTGACCATCTGATCAGCTTTTTCCTGAGAGATGATTTCTGTGTACCTGAGGGACAGATGGGCTTGCGACAAGGAGAAAGGGACATGCTGACTAATTGTAAAAGAATGTATTCTTATTTCAAACTTCATTGAGCCCTCCCGAAGACTGTTAAATTCAGAAAGAACATCTTTCCCCTATCACTGTCTTCTCTTGGGTATTTAGCTACTGAGTAAACTTAAGGTTTCAGCCATCTGATGAACATACATAAGAAAGATAATGTTAGAGATCAGTTCATCCTTATCCAGAAAGCTGCCCACCATTCCTATTCTATTTCACTTCAGGGAGCAGACCTAAATCCTTTTTATTGGGTATTATAACTAGTGCTATTTCCTTTCCATGAGGTAGCAACTGGCCTAGCTTTATAATAAAGTAACTAGTTAAAGTTTATTAATTGTTTTCAATGTAAATAAAACTTGTTTAAAATAATAGCAATGCTTAAAAGAAAAATAGCCATAGTTTTCCACATCGCATATGTTCCTAACGTTGTTTATATTGGAAGAAAATGTTCCTCAGCATGCTCCTTTTTATTTCACAATTAATTCCATAATCTCCCCTTTTAAATTGACATCTGTTCTCCTTTCCTTATTAAACCTGCTGTGATCTCAACCCTTGAAGATTTGATGTCTTGTACCCCCCTCAGGGAATATCCTTTTTGACTGCTCAAAGAGCTGACATAAATCTTATGTAGTCCTGGACTGTGAAACTGTATAGCTAAAATGGGATATATAGGGCTTTTGTTTGTTAGACAGTGTTACAGGTATGCACATTCAGTAACTTTTGGTATAAAAGTTAGTTCTGAATATCTGTTTAGGAGGAGGAAATGCCATCTGAATGATATTTTCTCATGCATATAAGAAAGCAGCAGGATGGGAGCTTTCCATTCTAATGTGTCCTTGAGGTAAAAGAAATAGCTTCATGTGCTGTCCCTAATTTAAGCACACACATATTATCTAATGTTCTTTATTGATCTCTAGTGGCTATTGCCTGTTCTTAAGATCTTTGAACATCAAACAAATAATAAGTCGTAAAGCTAAATGTCATTGTTTGGTGAAGTGTCCTAGTCTGTTAAATCAGGAAATGGTTAGATTAAATGATTTTACTGGCAAGGAAACACCTGCCTCCTACAAATAACCTATTGCTTGTTTTCCAAAGAGGCATCAGAGAGTAAAAAGGATGGTGCTGTTTGCCTAGAGACGTTTATAAGACAGATGTGAAACGTGCATATTCTAAAATGTGCCGAATTAAAACATCTACTTAAAACCAATCTGATGTAACCATTTAACAAGTGAGATACACATACTAATGGAATTCAAAGCCATGAAGACAATGTTATTCCAGTGCTTAGTACTCACATACAATTATTTTCATTATGTTTAATATGACTGAAAATGCTCACAACGATACTTATCATATGTTGGATAGCATTTCTAAATTCCTCTGACATGATTTTTAAAACAAGTATGTGAGTCTTCACTGAAGCTTTAAAACAGGAAATTGTGCGGTGAAGATTCATAAGAGTCACGCAACCTGATCGCCCATGTTTTTTGTTTCGCAAAGCAGAGGTCCGGGCAGGTGAGAAATGGCAGAGTCCCTTCCTCAGCTAGTCGGTGTCAGGCCGGTATCAGTTCTGTGGCTTTCACTGTGCTGTGCTGTCTGCGGCAGCGTATCTGGTCCTGATGTTCAGCTCAACCCCCTTCGTATTCGTGCAGTCCACCCTTCCGGACTCCTCGCGTTCTTTGGAAGCAGAGGAACAGGAGCGAGTGTGCTGCCGGCCCCGAGTCAGCTGGTCCCGGCGCCCCGGGTTGAAGCCGTGCTGTGTGTCCTTGTGTTTCGTTATCCGTCGCCTGTGGGTTCTTGCTGCTGTTCGCGACGGGGAGGCGATCACAAGCGGATCCTCTCACGTCTCACTTCTCACCTCCGCCAACACCAGAGAAGGGAAAGGTTGGCAGTGGCGTCGTCTTCCTCTAAGTTGTGTGCTTTTCCATTTTGAAATGGAGGGTTTTTTCCAGCCGAAGACGGGTACTGATAGCTCTCTCTCTGAGATTAGTATGCAGTGATGTCTCCCTTATCTGGTGTTTAATTCTCTCTCACCCACAGTTATGTGGAATATAGGTAAAAGCTAAAGACACGGTCCAAAAGGCTCTTAAACCACACAAATGTGTTCAGTTAAGAAAAACAGACCCAGAACCGTGTCTGTTGACTACTGGGGTATGGACCAGGTATTGTCCTGGGTGGCAGGGGTATAGAGATGGGAACCAGCTTCCAGTTTCAAGGAATCCCAACTCAAAAGTATGTGCGTCGACACGTGCGTCTTTACCTCGGAGGGAGGGTCCTTATTCTTCCATTTCTCCTTTAGAAAGAGCTCTAACACTTTTGGAGGCAATAAATTGGACTAAAGTGCTCGAGCTACCACTCTGACCCGCATAAGACGTGTCAGCTACAAACGTGTCAGAGGTTAAGACTATGACATGATTTTTGAAACAAGTGTGTGTGTCTTTACTGAAGTGATGAAGAGCAGTTACAAGAACTCAGAATGCTTTGCAATTCAGAGGTCACTCTCTGAAAGGGCGAGCACTCTAAGGGAATTACTGTATCATGGCACATTGTGGTTTGGGGCGTTCATCATAACCCTGGGTTGTCAAGAAAGGTTTGTGGTGGAGGATTCAGTGTGAGGGGGCAGTAGTCGTTTTTTCCACATGTATTGGGCATTTAGGAGTTTTACGTCAAGCAGTTTATCAATTTATCAGAACTGTTTGGTATATTGACTGTTATTATCCCCATTTTTCCGAGTAGCAAACTGAGGCACAGACTATTGAGTAACTTGTGAAGGCATAGGTATATAAATATATGCCAGAGCTTCCACTCATAATTACCACGTAATTTTAGATAGATTTTCCTCAAGAATGGTTAATATTGTGGCACTTCCCACTTTAAGAGGTAAATCTCAGTCATGCTGTTATACAGACAGTTCTGAGTCCTGGAAGAAAATTGAGCAGGAAATAGATGGGAAACTACCAGTAGTATAGTCCATCAGAGGATGCGGTGCCAGTTTGTAAAATCCCTATTGACGTGTCAGCAACTCTGATAGCAGTTCCTTGTTAGTTTTTCATGTAATGTGTCATTTCTACTGGAAAAACAGACTGTGCAGTAAGGAGAAGCATGCCTCCTCGGAGCAGCATAGCCTAGTTTAGACCCTCCTAGGCATTATCCTGGGAAGTGGGTGTTAGCTGTAGCTCCGAGAAGGCGATCACAATGAGAGACATCTAATAGAAGCAAGGTTACG